GCCAGTCTTGCATTACCAGAATAAAAGAGTACCTTTTAATACTCAAGGTACTATATTTGCTGGTAGCAGTCTTTCAAAAATAAAGTTCCATGCAGCAGCTACAAACCAAAAGGACTCATTTGTATGGCTACATTCACTTCCAGGAAAGTATCACAAAGTCTCTAGAATATTCCTGTGCTGCTACAGTGGCAGAGCTGAACTCTTGCTCCTGATGCTGTTACCTCTGAGTCCCCTACTAATTCCCACCTATCACAGATCCTTCAAGTTTGATCAGAGTTTGAGAATATCCCCCTGTCAATTCTTATTTTATACTTAAAAAATTGATATTTATTAAAATAAGAATCCCATTGTTGCTGTTAGGTGCTGTCCAGTCAGATCCAACTCATAGACACCCTGTGCACACCAGAACCAAACACTACCTGGTCCTGGGCCATCCTCACAATTATGTGTGAGCCCATTGCTGCTGCCACTGTGTCAACCCAGCTCCTTGAGAGTCTTCCTCTTCTTTGCTAACCCTCCACTTTACCAAGCATGATGTCCTTCTCTATTAGAATGTATAAATATATCCAGCATCCTGTACAGTATCAAAAAATATTTGTTGAATAATAATGACTATGTAATTTTATATAGCTGTTAAGTACTGTTGAGTTGGTTCTGACTCAGTGACCCTGTATTGGGTTTCTGTGGAGTAGCTGGTGATCTTGAACCGCCAACTTTGCAGTCCAACGTAGTAGTCTGCAGTGCCACACCAGGTCCCCTGGTACCTGATGATACAATCATTTCTTTCTTCAAATGAAACAGAAATACTACATAATAAAAGAGCTTATTTAAAAGGTGCTGAATCTTCCATACGGTAGAATTCCAATCTATTAGTGTAGAAGGAAAGAAGATAATAGGAAGCTACCACTAGGCAAACACCACAGGAATAATCCAGACAAGAGCCACCAATGGATGCTACTGAGACCAAGGAGTCAAAGTTGAAAAAGAAACAGGATTTAAATAGTTTTCAAGAATCACCTCCAATGTATTTATTACATACCCTTCTACTTTACAGTGGAAAACTTGGAAGAAAGCACCATAGCGAGGCTACCAATGTCAACATCACCACATATAATAAAACACAGAGATACCACTGGACCCTGTTACATTATACACTAAGAAGAACACTTCGTTTCTGTAGAATCCTTATAAAAAATACATAACCTTAGTATAGTTGTTGATGTTGTTAAGTGCCCTTAAGTCAGTTTCAACCTATAGTGACCCTGTATAGGTTTTCCAAGGAGCGACTGGTGAGCTTGAACTGCCAACCTTGCAGTTCAAACCAACTTGTGGGTCCAGCACATTAAGCCATAGTGCCATACCAGGACACCATAACTTTAGTATGGCCATAAGAAAACATCAGACAAAGTCAAGTTAAGGGGCATTTGACAAGATAACTAATCTACTAATACTCTTCAACTCACTAGTACTGGTAGAATACTCTTCAAAAGAGTCCTGGTATGGCACTGTAGGATAAGCACTGGACTGCAAAGTCGGTTTGAATCCCAAAGTCAGTGGTTCAGTCTCAACCAGCTGCTCCTCAAAAACCCTGTAAAGGGTCACTATGAGTGGGAACCAACTTTACTGCACTTAATAACAACAACAATACTCTTCAAAAGTGCCAAAGTCATAAAAGATCAGATTTATGATGAATGAATCATTTCAAATCTAAGAACTACCACAAAGTCAATTCCTATGAGGTAGAGGTCAACTATATCCCATATTTCCACATATTCTAAGCTGCTATATCACTCCATCTTGGATCCTTGCCACTCTTCCTCCCCTCAGCATTCTTTCCTCCCTCATTTGTGCTCAGCAATTTGCCACAACTTATCATAGAACTCACAAACTCTGCTTACAGTTAAGTGGTTTGTTAAGGGTCAGGGTTAGAACTTGGGATCAGGATGAAGAGGCTACAACTCAGGAATGAAGAACAGGAAGCGTGTCAAGAGAATCTCCCTCAGGACAGGATCCTCTTGGCCCTGCCATCTGTCGTTGCTGACTCTGATGCTGGTTCCCTTCTGGGCCTGTTGTTGCTGGTTCGGTGGCTGGTCTCCTTCTGGGCTTTTTGCTGTGTTTAGTGTGGTAGCCTTTGACCAGTGTTGCAGCTCTTTTAGAAGGTTCCTTACTTCCTCTTTCTGCTTTCTTCCTTCTGCTTTTTCCTGCTGCTTCTCTTCTTGCTTCTTTGTATCTTTCAAACCTCTGTGGAGTTGGCTGCACATATACTCAAACTTCTCATACACCAGGGCCATGGGCTGACCAGTTCACCCTTGGTAAACTACAGGCACTCTGGCTGGGTTACAACCCACCTCATTTGCGTAGTCTATTGATCAAACTCAGCAAGGTGCGTATCAATCACAGGGCAACCTGAGGCTCAGGACCAGAAAAAATGTCAAGTTGTTCACAGTTTACCCAGGAAATGCCAATCAACTTGGACAAAAGTGACAAACTGTCTAGGGCAGAAACTAAGGTAAAGATGACTCCTAAGGCTTTATAAAGGAGCTCTGGTAGCATAGTGGCTACGAATCAGGCTGTTAACCTCAAGGTCAGTAGTTCAAAACTACCACCTGTTCTGTAGGAGAAAGTTGAGGCTTTCTGCTCCCCTAAAAATTTGCAGCCTCGGAAACTATTAACAACAACAAGGCTTTATAGGGGGAAATCTCCCAAACTGTTTTTCCAAAATGCCAAGGCAAAGGGCCACATAAATGTAGACTCATGTAAGTTAAAGACTGAGGATTACATTGCAGGATTAAAAATAATATATTTGTAATGCATATACCCAATAAAAGATATATTTATAATATATTCCTACAAATCTGTATGGATACGACTTGCTAATTCAATCTTTTTAGTAATCAATGAAGTGAAATCTGAAATTAAAATGAGTTACCACCACCATACACACTAAAATCAAAAATCTGACAATACCACATATAGCCAGAGGAAACTGTCATACAATATTGGGACTATAAATTATGCAACCGTTTGGAAAACAGTTTGGTATTATCTGGTAAATGCCCCAAGAGTTACATTTCAGGGTATATAATCTTGAGAAATTTGCACACCAGGAGACATGCCCAAGAAAATTCATAGCTGTATCATTTACAATAGCCCCAAACTGGAAACAAGACAGGAGGCCAAAAAACAGAGAAATATCCAAAAAGGATCTTGTTGGCTTTTCAGTTCTGATTCTTGTTCCTGCCAAGGTGCACCTGCAGTTTGTACCCTTTTCATAAATCCTATTTTGTTTAAGCTGATTTGAGCAGGCTTTGTTTTTCTTACCATCTGTAGAGCCTTGCTTTGGAGAGGAAAAAAATACAAAACAAAACAAAAAGCATGGAGAGGGAATTTAAGATTACAGAGACTTAAGAGACATATCAAGCAGTTGCAATGTAAGGATGTTATTTGGGCCCCAACTGAAACACATATTGCAAAGTGAAGCACAACATGTAATAGCAAATAATTCCATTTTAAAGATCAATCCAAACCCTAGGATATCTCTAGTTCTGGGTCTCATGAGGACACACCCAAGCAGTCAGCACAGGCTTGACTGAGGCTGGAGAATCTGCTTCCCAGTTCACTCCCTACATCCAGTGTGGGGTCCAAAGCAAATGAAAACCTGGGGCCTCTTGTTCAAAAATATTCATATTTTCAACTTGGTGACAGCAGAACATTAAAACAAGTGTTGTGTCTGCCTAAGTCACTTGTAAGCCCAGGGGTTGCACAGACCTAAAACCAACTCTGGCAGCTGAAGACCTGAATGAGAAAGAGAGAGCCAGAGAACAACCAAGGCAGAAGCCATGGTGTTTTTGCAGCCTAATGTTGGAAGTGACAACCCATTTTACTTTTTGTATTCCATTTATTAGGAGCAAGTTTCTAAGTCCAGCCCACACTTCATGGGAAAAGGATTACACAAGGGAAGAGGGCTGAGGACCAGTTAGCAGGAATCATTGGGAGGTCCTCTTAGAGACCCCTGTACCACAACAACCATTTAGAAGATAATCAGGGAAATTTGAACACTGGGTGTTGACCATGTTAAAGAACTATTGTTTACTTCTTCAGTGTAATGATGGTATTGAAGCTAGATTTAAGAGCGTCATCTTTTAGAGATACTGAAATATGTACAGATGAAATGAATTAATATGTGAGATTTGCTTCAAAATAATATGGGGTAGAAGAGAAGTAGGGGTATAGATGAAACAAGATTGCCATGAGTTGGCCATTGTTTTGTGAGTGATGAGTACATGAAAGTCCATTATCCTGTTTTTGTATGTATTTGAAATTTTCCATAATAAAAATTATAAAAAACAAGATAGTCTTGTTGAACTCATTGGCTTCGTCATTAAATTCAAATGAGCACACTTGTATGCTGTAAATTGAGGAGAAACATTCAGAGCAGGAGGTTTGGGCTTAAAACATCACAGGATGACACTTTTTTAAGCCAGTTGCTTAAATATTCTTATGCTGTTTCCGGGAAAAGAAAGTTAAATATTGAAGAAGGAGCTGAAGGAAGAGACTGGAGTGTTTGATACATGAGCCAACTTCAAGTCAAATCAGTTAAGTGTGCGTCTTGTCTTGCCCTTCAGCTTTGTCTTCAACCCTGGAAACTTCCCAGGGCTTTCTTTTGGCATTATCCTGCTTCTGAGCTGTTGGAATTAGAGGTCTTATTGCTGTGATGTTTGTTTTCCATGATTAGCATTAAGACCTCATGAAAGTTGGTCCAGCTTATGATTTTGAAGTGAGGTATAAAAGAATGTTTGGTAAAATAAGAACAGAAGTTAGAAATCAAAGGCGCTAATAAAAGGTACTAATTAAGGGTTGTATGTCAAGGGATGTTATTATTTACACTTGGTCTGCTATATATAGCTAATTTTTATTTTAAATATTCCTTATAATTTTTATTTAAGGTGACTTTAAAAAGGCAAGCTACCTTTTCTTACTTAAATTATCTTGCTTTTCAGAGCTGACATTTTGTCTGATGGCAAGACAACTGATTCCTCCACTCAATATTTCTTATGCAGCATTCTGTTCTTCAGTAATTTATGTAATTTTTGGATCATGTCATCAAATGTCTATTGGTGAGTTCAGTACTAGAAGTATAGAAAGTGGATGAAGTTTCCATTTCATTTACTTATTGTTAAGGAGCCATTAGACCGTTGTTGTTGTTGTTGTTGTTAAGTGCCGTCGAGTCGATTCCGACCCATAGCGACCCTGTATAGGGTTTCCAAGGAGAACCTAGTGAGCTTGAACCACCGACCTTGCAGTTGAAACTACTTCACAGTCTGACGCATTAGCCCACAGCGCCACACCAGGACTCCCGTCAAGATTTACAGCCTTGGAAACCCTTTACAGAGTCCCTATGGATCGGAATTGACTCGACGGCACTTAACAACAACAAATGGCTAGTGATCATGAACATTTCTTCATATGTTAAGGAGCTCTGGTAGTGTAGTGGTTACAAGTCGTTAGTTCAAAACTACCAGCGGTTCCACGGGAGAAAGATGAGGCATTCTGCCCCTGTAAAGATTTACAGCCTCGGAAACCCTGTGCAGGGTCACTATGAGTCGGAACTGACTCCACGGTACTTCACAACAACAACAATTGTTAAGGAACCCAACTTGAAGCATTCTTTAAGATAGAAATAAAGGCAGTAGAAGATGGACATTCTATCCACATGCTTAGTGTTTAGATTGTAGGAATCAAACACTTCATTTAGTATGTCATTGCTAATGTTGTTGTTGTTATGTGCCATGGAATCAGTTCCGATTCATAGTGACCCTGTACAGGGTTTCCAACGCTGTAAATCTTTACAGGAGCAGAAAGCCTCATCTTTCTCCCACGGAACAGCTGGTAGTTTCGAACTGATGACCTTGCGGTTCACAGCCCAATTCGTAACCAATACGCTACCAGTGCTAATGTAGCCACCAGAAAAGCAGACCACCAAGGTATTTCTCAAAGTAATTAAAAGGATGGGAGTAACTTGATGAAATGGCCCCTTGTTGAACTCTGACCAAAACTCAACAGATCCAGAAACTTCCTAGATCCTAGAGTGGGCTGGCTCCTCTTTCAGCAGAACTCAATAACCAAATTCTGAGGAGAATAGTTTATAATACAACAGGTCAGTTTATTAATTTATAATGAAAAATGGTATCATAGTAATCAAAGCACTCACATCCACAGAATGAGCACTTTCTTTCTCTGGGTCAAAAGTCCATCGACAACGTTTTAATTAGAAATGAGATGGGTTTTACAGCAATATGGGGGTGCATTGCAATGATATTTGGAACGGGTTTAGCTCAGTGTAATCCTGCACTTAGTAAACCCTTCTTGAATGTTAGGTATACTTTTTGTTATCATTATTGATTAGCTTTGTTTTCTGATGACTTCACTACCATCTCAGTTTTCACCTTCTCTAGAGCAGTGGCTGAGCTTGATCCCCATTTCCAGTCAATTTCTCTTTGAATCCCACTCCACATACCCATAATACTAGACGAGTAGTAGCTGAGACCAGCAAGAATGAAAGCCTGTGAGTTGGTCACCTACGTGAAGCCAGAGATCTCTTCCTTGATCTTTCTTCTCAATGGCCACTTTCAAATAAGAAACATTCCTTTGAACAAGAAAAATACAAAATCAAACTATGCCTTTCTTCTGTTGCTATTTATCAGTGTACCTAGACTTAGAACCTCACCTCTGCCTAAACTTTCTTCTTCTTTCATAGGTTCCTACTTCCTTGTGAGTGCTCTGATGATCAATGTCCTGAAGGTGAGCCCATTCAACAGTGGCCACCTGGTATTAGGAACTTTCATCAAGGATGACTTTTCTGACCCCTCCTTCTTTATGGCCTATAACAGATCCTTGAGTGTGGTGGCGACCACAACTTTCTTGACTGGGATTATTCAGGTAGGATCTGAGTCTCTGAACCCCTAAAAAAAAGAACTAGTAAAAAGGACTAGAAACGGACCCCTTCTTTTAATTGTTCCTGTGATTCTCTGTGATATATCTGGAACTCCAGGGATTTCCTTTTGTAAAACTTGTGGAATGTGTGGATAGGCTCGCTCCTCAATGACTAAACTCCACCATCTTTAGAAACCATCCGTTGCTGATTTAGGATAAGATACTGAAAATTCTCAGCATTCTCTTTTTCTCTAAGACTAAAGTCTGCAGTTCAAGCCCTCCAGCTGCTCTGCAGGTGAAAGATGAGGCTTGCTGCTCCTGCCAAGGTTTAAAGCCTTAGAAACCCTAAACTAGGGCACTATGAGTCGGAACTGACTCACAGCACTTAACGAAAACAACAAAGTGTCCTAGGAACTATGGTCCAAAGTTCCACTCATGATTTTATGCTTGCTTTATATTTTTTAGACAATAACAGCACTCATAGGCTTACATATTATAGTTTGGGTTATTCAACATTAGACTCAAACTTGGATTCTTTATTTTTTCTCTGTAGTGCCAGGACCATTGCTAAAGGAAATCATTTCAGTGAATTATTACAATATCAAAACTTACTTTTGATGGTGTCTTTTATTTCCTCTAGTCTTACCTACTACACTAAAGTCACATGTGGCAGCCTAATTGCTCTTCATACCTAATTCTAGCTGATTTTTCTAGTTTCCCCTTTCATTAAGTAAGAATTTATTGGGATCCTATGAAGACAGGAAATCTCAGTGGTCAGGTAACAATCCTGACACCATCAGTATAAACCTAGTTAAAATAGTTCATCTTTTGGGGTCTCAGTTTTCTTATATGTAAAATGGGAATAATAATGGTTGTTTTGCAGAGTTTTGTAAGAGTTAAGTAAGACATGTACATAAAACACTCAGGCCAGGGTCTGTCACATAGTAAGCATTAATAAATGTACAAAGAACTGAACTGGGTATTTTAGCAAGCACATAGCGTTCTTATGGTTGGTGTTGGTTTTTTAAATCAATATTGTAGGAGACAAAATAGAAAATATATTTACAAAATAGGCAATATTTACAGAGAATATGACAACTAAAACCAAACCTACTGCCTTCAAGTCAATACAAACTTGTAGTGAAGCCTATAGGGCATAGTGGAACTGCCCCATAGAGTTTCTGAAGTGATAATCTTTACAGAAGCTGATTGCCTCATCTTTTTCGTATAGAGCACCTGGTGAGTTCAAACTGCCAGCCTTTTGGTTAGCAGTCAAGTGTTTTAACCACTACACCACCAAGACTCACATGGCACTATTGTGGTGCTGTGCATTAATACTCTGGACTGCAATGTCAGTTTGAACCACAAGGTCAGCAATTCAAACTCATCAACAGCTCCTTGGAAACCCTATACAGGGTCACTATGAGTTGGAACCAACTCAAAAGCACTTAACAACAACAACAACATTAATTATCTAAGTGGCCTTGGGCATGTTCTTTTCTCTCCTCTGAGACTCAATTTTCTCATCTATAAAAGGAAAAGATGTTCCATTTTGGGGAAGATAGAATCAATGTACTTTATCCTACTCCTCTGGCTAAGTACAACTACAAATAACATGGGCATTATATATAAACCAAACATAAGAGGACTCTGAAAGGTAGAGAGAAGAAGGTAGATCCATCAGAACCCAAGGAATAACATGGTGGTGAGTTCCTGGGTTGTTTTTGTTTTGCCAAGTATGAGGGGGCTTTGAGAAGTTCATGGAAAAATTCCATTATCTTTTCATCTCATTTTTTTCCATGAACTATTTGGAGCTCCCTCATATAGCTCAGATTTGGAGCTGAATAGGCCAGAAATTCAAAGTGACAATGGGCGCAGACTTAAAAGTCCTGTTCTCTCAAGCCACGAAACCAAGAAAGGGGCAGCATAGCAACACAAAAAACTTTTAGACAAACACTGCTGTATTCTAGACAAACATCACAGGGAAGGACTGCGACCTCACACTCACACATGCCAGCCAAAACTAAGTGGAAAGCCTAAACTTCTACTCTCATCTGGCTGTAATGAAGCCCCCAATCCCTCAAACTAAGGTGGAGTCATAAAAGACATCGTATGGAATCAAGAATTTTATCCCCACTGAGCAGTAATGAAGTGTCCCTCCTACTTCTTGCTCATGTGGTCTCAGAGGAAGCCTAATGGACAATCACCACCCACCAAGAATGAGGCCACAAACACACTCCAATGCCACTGCCGCCACCACCACCACCACCATGTGTCAGTAGAGCTTATATGGGGATAAAGAACAAGGTATTCATGGAACAATGTCTCATGGGGAAACAGCAATCACCTCTGCCTGCCCAACAAAAATGAGGAGCCCCTTCTGACTCAGACATTAACATAGGCTGAGAGGGGAGACTGGACTTCTAATTCAATCAGTTAATAATGAGGTAGTAGTGGTTTGAATTTATCAACTGCTCCTTGGAAACCCTATACAGGGTCACTAAGAGTCAGAATCGACTTGACTGCACTAAACAACATACGTAATGATAATCAAAACAACACATAGATCAGTGGAATAGAATTGAGAACCTACCAATAAAACCATACATCTATGGTCAACTGATTCTCAACAAAGTTGCTAAGTCAACTCAATGGGGGAGAAACAGCCTTTTTAACAATTGGTCCTGGGAAAATTGGATTTCCACGTGCAAAAAAAAATGAAGCAAAATTCATACCTCATACCTCAAAATAGATCAAGGACCTAAATGTTTAGCATGAAGTCATAAAGCTCTTGGAAAGAATATAGAGGCAGCTCTGGGATCTAGTTTTTTGTTGTTTTTATTTCCCCCAATAATAGATTATCCAATTCAACAGCAAATTCACGAGAAACAGATGACAAAAATAGGTTCTTTGGACCTCATAAAATTTAAACATTTTTGTTCATTAAAGAACTTTATCAAAAGAATAAAAAGACAACCTACAGACTAAGAAAAAATTGGGGGAACAATCTAAAGGGTCTAATATTCAAAATATCTATAAAATTGCCACAACATACCAACAAAAAGACAAGTAACCAAATAAAAAAATGGGCAAGGACACGAACAGACACTTCACCAAATAGAATATCCAAGTGGCCAACAGACCCATCAAAAGATGTTCATTATCATTAGCCATTGTTGTTAGTGTCGTCAAATCAGTTCCAACTCATAGTGACTTTGTATATATAGGATTTCCAAGGAGTGGCTGGTTGGTTTGAACCTCCAGCCTTTCAGTTCAGTGCTTATGCTACAATGCCATTATAGACATATATATCAAAACTATAATGAGATACCTCACCCTTACTAAAACCTCACCCCTAATAGAATAGCAAAACAAGAACAAAAACAAAAAACCCACTTCCATCTAGTTGATTCCAACTCATAGCAACTGTATGTAAAACAGAACTGTTTCTTAGAGTTTTCAAGAAAGACTGTAAATCTCTATGGAAGCAGACAGTCTCAACTTTCTCCTGCAGAGTGGCTGGTAGAGTTGACCACTGACCATGTAGTATAGTGCTTAACCCATGGTACCACCTGGGCTTCTTACTAGAATGGCATTGTTAAAAAACAGAAAATAACAAATGTGGGTGAGGGTGTGGGGAGATCAGAATCCTTATCCATTGCTGGTGGGAATGTAAAATGGCATAACCATTGTGGAAAACAGTATGACAATTCCTCAAAAATTAAAAATAACACTACCACATGACCCAACAATTCTACTTATAAGTGTATACCCTAGAAACCTAAAAGTAGTGACACTTACAGACATATATACACTTATGTTCCAAGCAGCACTCTTCACAATAGAAAAAAGTTGGAAACAACCTAAGTCCCTGTCAACAGATAAATGGATAAAGAAAATATGAAACATACATACAACAAAGTACTACTCATCCGTAAAGAGAAATAAAGTCTTGATGCATGCAACAACATGGATGAACCTTGAAGACATGCTGAGTAATATAAGTCAATTACCAAATGACAAATACTATATGACCTCACTTATATGAAACGACAAGAATAGGCAATATTAGATATATCGAGACCAATGATATTAGTGGTTACCTGGGCAGGAGAGGAGAGGAAGAGAGGAAATTATTTTCTGGAAAGTAGTGAGTTTATGTCTATGGTAATGGGGAAATTGGCACAGATTAAAGGTAATGGCTACCTTACTAAATGTTTTGGTCAAGGACCCAATAGATGAACCCTGCTCTAAAGGGGAGAAATGTGGACCAGATTTTAGCATTCTTATAGAACCCAGGCTTACTTGACCATTGAGTCTGGAGGAAACCTTGAATCTGTTGCCCTTAGAGAAATGTTGAACTTTGAACTAAAACTATCCCCCGAAGTCATCTTCAAACTAAAAACAGTTTAAATAAATTAGTAGAGATGTTTGCCTTGAACATTACACTCTTTAAAGGAATTATCTAAATGATGCTAAGTTGACAACAATAACTCTAAAACATAGATAAGTAGTTTATGGAACAGTGAGTCTAGGTCAGTGTTGGTACAATAATATGTCTAGAGAGTACGAATGGAGACACAATGGGAAAAATGTAACCAATGCTATTGATCTGCACATGCAGAAATTGTTGAATGGGTGTATCATCTGCTGTGTATATTTTCACCAAAAATAAATCAATAAATAAAAGGAGAGTAACTGAATCGAAATTTTAAAAATGAAAAATACAACAATTAAACAGTTCAACAAATGGAAGAGACAGAGGAAAGGATCAATAAACTTGAGGGCTGAACAATAGAGTAACCCAATCTGAAAAACAGAAAATAGAATGGTGAAGGGTGCGGAGGAGCAGAGCCTCAAAGAACTCTGTAGGACAATAACAAAAAAAATCTAACACTTATGTCATCAAAGTCTCAGAAGGAGAGGAAAAGGCAGAGCAAAAGTACCTGAAGAACTAATAGCTGAAAACTTTCTAATTTGGTAAGTTTCCTAAGTGTTCTAGATTC